CTTTTCAGAAGAGAGATTCAGATACTGAATAACGTCATCGTACTTACAGGGCTGTTCTGGGGCAGCACCTGTTGAAATAAAATGAAAGTCTGGTTACATCCAAATTCCTTTTATCAGAGCAATACCGGGCAGGATCTCAGCATGCACCACACACCCAGCCTATAGGATGGAAATGCACCAGAGGATTAAAAGATATTGGGCTGTAGCTGCTAGAAAGCCCCTTCCAGATCTTTGTCCCCTTTCACACTGGCAGGACTAGGGTGCCTGTCTTAATCTTCCTCATCCATGTATGAGAATATAAATTCCTCATGGATAATCCGGTTGGTTTTCCCCTGATCCTACTACCATTTAATTACCTGTTGCCAAAGACAAAGTGAGAATAGCTAAGAATGCTTCCCACATCATTCCCCTTTTCCTAATGAGGCAAAAAGTACAGCTGATGCTACAGATAGTTGCGAGTGGCTATCAGCTGAGGTGTAACTGGTGCTTTGATATTAATCAGTGTAGGGAGGAAGCTTATATAATTCAAGGCTTGGGGGTTTTTTTTTAATGAATTCAGTGATAATAGCGCAATGCACTCAGCTGGCTCTTGGGATCAGCTCGTGAAATTACTGTTAATGGATTTGATGTTATGGGACCAATGCTGTGGTAGAAATAATTTGCTTTAACCCCATAGTCCCCCATGGAAGGTATTGCTTGTCGTTGGGATTTATTTATACAAAATAAATCGAGGCTTTTTTGTTTTTAAATTTGTCCAAAGTGGGTCTTGCTGTTTATCGGACAGCCTTGCCGCTGCACTCTGCCACAGGGGAATTGACCCCTGGGCTTCCATATCCCAGGTAAGTGCCCTAAGAACTAAGGATGGATGTCTTGTGAATGGAGCCCTTTGAAAACGCTTGGGAACAAAATGTTCTGGGTTAAACATGTTTTGTTTGATCTGAAATCAACTTTTTTGATTCACTGAAATTTTTCATGACTTTCAGATTGTTTTGAAAACCCCCCATTTTATCTTTTCAGCACTGCCAGCCAGCCGAATAGTCAATCATTTGCTGTAAAAACATCACCTACCTCTAAAGTTGTACGAAGTTAACAAACTACCTTCTGGTAAGAAAGTTACATGGTCTCTCAATGCTGGCAGTTTATCCACCTTGGTTCCCTCTGCTTAAAGTGCCAGCTGTGTCCTGACGTCCATTCTTCACCGCTCCCTGCACTGTTTAGGTTCCATGGGCTTGGCGCCTTCACAACTGCCCAGCCCTGCTTCACTTGGTGCAGCTCTAAAGCTCAATCTTCCTGACTTCAGATTTTCTGCATCCCCAACTTCTGTGCTTCACAGGCTATACAAAGCTTAGGAACCCCAGATGCTCATAACCCCAGATCCCTCTTATAAAACACACCCTGTCGAAAACTAAAAAGGTGTAGGAAGAGGAGCTCTTAGGTGTTGTGGAGAGAGAGGCTAGACTGATAGTTAGTGAGACTTTGCAAAGCTCTCCCTTGCCTGCCATGGTCCCCCTGACTGTCTCTGCATTCTCTGGTTTGTTGTTTGATGTGGAAGATCCTTCCAGGCTGAACAAGGCTGCTCCTTCTAGGGTGACCAGATGTCCCGATTTTATAGGGACAGTCCCGAATTTTGGGTTTTTTTCTTATATAGGCTCCTATTATCCCCCACCCCCATCCTGATATTTCACACTTGCTGTCTGGTCACCCTAGCTCCTTCACTAGTTTATTATCTAGCAAACATAGCTTGCTTGTATGCTTGTATGTCTGAGGTTATATTGGGTATGTGTGTATATATGTAAATATACAGTATGTGGGGTGTATGTGCCACAGTGGAGCCAGGATCTAGGGTAGCCTCTGTAGCATTGTCCCCCCCACCCCTCGGCATTTGTAACCCATGGAGCCAGATTCTGCTCCTGTTAGAGCCTGGCAGAGCTCCCCAAGGGTGGAGACTCCACCCCCAGAATGTCCAGCTCCCTGTCCCAGCTGGATCTTGGAGCTGAACGCCCTCGCTCAACCCAGCTGCAGCAGAGGAGGGGTACAGGTCACCAGGGGAGGGGGATTCCCCAGCTCAGCCTCTTGCCGTGCTGTGTGGCCAGCCCTTCGTGGGCCAGTGTTGGGATGAGTCTTGATGTCCAGCCAGGGGCATCTTCCCCTGTAGAGCCTTTTCTGCTCTCCCCCATGGCCTGGGTGCCTTGAAAAGATGAAACTAGCCAAACAGCCTCTGCATAGCTGAGGTTAAACTGAGCGCTGCTGGAAAGGAGGGTGAGTCCCAGGAGCACCATAAACCAGAACATCATGGGCCAAATTCCACCCCTAGTGCATTCCCCATCCCCCACCCGGGAGTCAGTGTGGTAACAACCAAGGCGTAAATTCATTGGGCTAGGATGGTGCAACCTCACCCAGCAGAGATGCTGACAAAAACCCATCCAGCAGAATCAAACCTCCCAGGGTGCATGTGTTCAATAGCGACCCACCCACCCCCACCAGTTGTGTGGTGAACAAACCCTGAGCCATGTGGCTAAAAGGGCAGATTGGCTTTCAGAACTTAGGGTTGCCTGGTGCATAGGTGCTAGAACTAGGGGTGCTGCTGCACCCCCTGGCTTGAAGTGGTTTCCATGTTTCTTTCTTTTTTTTAAACCCTTTGTCAGCCTTGCAAAACTGTAATAAATACAAACCATCCCATTCACAAACTCTCCTTGCCCGCTCCTACCAGTGTTCATGATGAAAAAACGGAGAGTATAGTATTTGCCCATTCACACACACACTTACACCCCCACAGTCAAAAAAAGGCAAATGTAGGCATGTAGAATTTTGTGTGGCTGCTTTATTGCCATTTCCGCATTAACAAGGAGACTGAAAATATTGTCAACTAAAAGTAGCATAGTTGCTACCCTGGGGCCTGATGATGGGCGGGGCAATGGATACTGCAGACTTGCCCGGTGTGGACCTGGGAGCTCTCTGAAATTACTGGGGGTTGTTCTCTCAGCTGTTCTGCTCCACCTGTACAGGTTGACGTCCTTGCCAGAAAAGCCCCCGGCTATTGATTGGGTTTATTACAAGACTGCAGTTGCTAAGGCTGGCATGGTGGATGAGTTTGAAAAGAAGGTGAGATTCTCGTCCTCAATTAGATGTTGCTGCTGTTTTGAAATCCAAGTGGAGGCTGCTCATATCTGATGCACAAGACACAGAACTGTGAACTTTTTCTCTAGCAGACGGCTAGGAGAGATTATTAGGAGGTATTGGCTCAGGTCCTGTGCTGTGGTGTGCAGCTGCTTTACATCACACTGCTAGCACAAAACAGCCCCAAAGCTGGCATAGCTAACCATAGGAAGGGTCATTTTAGAGGAGGGGGATCCTCCAGTGGCATAAAGCTAATGCTTTTTCTCTTATAGCCTGTATAGGTTTTCCCAGCCGTAGGTGTAGAAGTGGCCCGAGGAAAGAATATATGGTCGGAGCTTTCCTATTCTCTGCTGATTCCCAAGTGCCCAAGAGCACTAGTCTGGCTACTGGGGAAATATTAGCTCTGGGAGCATGCAGGGCTTTTAACAGAATTGACAGGCAACATGTTTAGAATTTATTTTTTGAATTTACAGTAAAATGCACTAAAGGTTCCTGAGCCTGTGGGGACACAAACAGACAAGATAAATGCCCAGAATAATTCTGACTTGGAGTCTGCTGGTGGGTAATTGTGCTGAGGTGCAGGAGCTGCAAGTCTGGGTTTGTGCGTATAGGCAGCTTTTGAGCAGAAAAGGTTCTCTCCACCTATCCATGATCACACTTGGGGATTTAGAGTCTGGGACTGGATTGCAGTTCTGCTTGCTCTTCTGGTGTAATACACTTGAGATGAGTGTAAGACAAAGGCAGCCAAACTCTGATCAACTGAGGAGCATATTGGCATCTTGTCAGCGCCCAAAGGATGCACTTAATTTGCATAAAATATGCCTGACTCCTTTTTAATGTGGAGCTGGAGTTCTTGGAGACTGCAGGGGTCAAGATGGAGCATTGCATAGTGGGACTTCTATTCTGTGGGCTCCTCCTCTGTGCGAAAGAGGAAGGTGGGTGTAACATAAACTCCAGGGGTTCTACTCAGGTCACTGATGTTGTCTTTAGCCAGAGAATTTGTCAGCCTCAAGAGCTTGTACCTGTTTTATTTAAAGCAGATGCTATTTTAAGGTCAGTGTCTCTTTAAGGAAGAGGTAAGAGGAGAATAGTGACTCCCTTTCCCTAGCTAAAGTGAAATAGGATGAGAGTCACAGCTTCACTGCAGGAATCAATCTAGGATTAATGTGCTCACCAAATCCTTTGTTCTCTTGCAGGCTAAGAGTGCTGCTGAATATGTGCAGGCCTCTAAATCCCTTATTGCACTATTTACAGGATAGGGACAGTCCCTGAAGGAGGACAGGATTGAGTCTTCCAAGCAGGATGCCAAGGTTTAGTGTTTGTAGAATACTCTCCCTGTTCTTGCCGTTCAGGTTAAACCCAAGGTTGTTCTTGTGACTGAGATAACAGTCCAGCCACACAAGTGATCAGCCCAGTTTAACTTTCTGCCCTTTCCTGTTTTACAAGTTCAAGCATCTCTCTGTAGCCTGTCCATGATACACTCATTGGACCTGGTTAGTGGTAGCCTGGACTCCAATCACAGTTGGAGGAGCCTGTCTCATCCCATCAAGACCAGCACTAATCTAGTCCATTGTGCTATTTCATGTTTGCTTTGTTCCCCCCAGATCTCCACGTGTAGTTCAGCACTTTTGAGAGGTACAGCTCAGATGACTTATACATACTCCAGTAATTCCATGTCAGCTGGAACACTAGCTCCATGAATGTATTTTATTCCGGTAACTTATTTGCTAATGGGATGACCTAGGTGTACACATTGCTTTACAAAGCACATGCAAGAACAAGGCTCCTGCCCTGCAGAGCTTGCACTGTTATTCAGACATGCAGTACATGGCTTGATTCAAGCGTAAGAATCAGGAAACCCTTGTTAGGGAGGAGGCTGAGGCAAGCAAGTATTAGAAAAGGCAATTCGCCCACATCTAACTGCTCCATTGTACAATAATGACGATGCTAAACAGTAGTGATAAAAGCAAATGGCTGCAGAAAACCACCTTCTCCAGAACTAGCAGAGCTGACTCGCACTCCTGTAGCTCTGCCTGGGTCCCAATTCGCTGCCCCTCCGCATTGATTGTTCCCGTAAGCATGGGTAGTTCTGTATTTCCCTTTCCAAGTGGGCTTGAATCCCTCCTCTCCTCTTGTCCCCTGGCCGTCTCAGTCAGCGAATCTCCTACAATGGGCAGAACAGCAGCCAAATGTAAATATACATCAGGGGAAATTGTGGACAGGAGCAGAGGCCTTCATGATGCTAAGCTTGACTTTATTTGCTTGATAGATTTTATTAGAACTTCAAACGTTTTTCTATCAGAAAATCTCAGGCACTGTTCTGGCTCAATGGGTTTGTGGGGCTGGCCAGAGTTGGTGGTCTCTGTTTGGGGCTGAGTTTACAGCTGAGCCTACATAAATAACAAAGGTTCAGTTCCTTTGTATACATATGTTGCCTATTTATATTTGATTCGAATAATATATGCACCATAATGATGTTGAGAAGTAGGTGTCTTAACTGTGTGTGAATTTATGATCAAATGTGGCCTGAAACACAATGGACATGGGTTCTAAACTTGCTTGCATGATTGATTTCCAGAGATAAGGGGCTCCCTACTGACAGAACCTTGCTACTGGATAAGGAGTATTCAAATGTAGTTAACCAAACACTAACCCTGCTTGCTTAGGAGGTTTCCGGATGCAGTTCTAGCTTGCTTGCGGCATCTCAGCAGTTTCATAGCCTTGAGTAAAGGGTGTAGGGGTTTCTTCTTCAGCTGCATTAATAGGTAGGTCTCCAATATACCCATAATCATTAGGACAAAGACACCTACAAAAAACCTCACTGCAAAACAAGATGAAAAGGATGTGATTGATAAACTCTCTGCCTTACTTTCTCTAGATCCATAATTCTATGTACTGTGGGCTTCTGCTTAATAGAAGAAATATAGTGCCCCAAGTCCAGAAACTGCTCTGAATAGGGACTTCTAATATTACAGCTCTTGTACAGTGGCTAGGTGTTCCTCGTCCTACTCTCTTAAAAGGCAGCATGTTTGTACTCTGCTCTCTTCCTTAGATTCAGTACAGGTCTAATATAAAGTGACTTACTCAATAAAGACAAGTACCTATTATGGGTGGGTCATCGGAAGAAGTGGGAATAATGTCCTTAAGAATCAGAGCTAACACAGACTCTCCAATGATGAGTGACAGCTGGAAACTGATCTTGTCCTCATAAGAGCTGCTGCTGAACAAAATAGTCATATCCAATAAGTAGAGAGCACACGTTGGGAAGATAAGGTTCAAAACGTATAAAATGGGTCGTCTCTTCATGGAGATCTGGAAGGAACAAGGCAAACATGAAATAATAGAATGGCCTGGATTAGTGCTGGTCTCAATGGGATGAGATAGACTCTTCCTCCAAGTATGGTTGGAGTCCCAGCTATCAACTCAAAGGAGGGAACAGGTCCCAGTGGGCTTCCTATGCTTTAGGGCATCCCAAGCTTCAAGTGCCAGCCATAAACACTCGCCCTCATCCTGTCCCCGGCTTTCTTTCCTTGCTTGCTTACCTTCATTTCCTGCTTGCTTCCTACCCATAACCCCAACTTCCCCTCCTCTCATAGTCTGACCCTTCTTCCACCTGTCCTGTTAGCTCTTCCTTACCTGCCCATCTTTCTACCGCCTACTTCCCGCCACTTCACCTGACCCTCTTTGCCCTCATTTTGAGTTGAGCGCTATGTTCTTCTACGCACTCTTGCTATTTTCCTACTGGTATTCTCTGTGTGTATATTCATGCACGTGTGTTCATAGAATACATATGCCTTCACCCTTCTGATATTTTTTTTTCTACTCTCCTAAACACACACACATTCAAACTGGAGCTGACAAAAAGGTCCATCTAGTGCAGTAAGCTGTCTCTCAGAGTGGCCTATACCAGGTGTCTGAAAGGAAGATATAACCGCCTAAGGCCACTTCCTCTCCTGGTTTAAATCAATGCAGCTCCAATGATGTCACTGGAGCTATAGCAATTTGTACCTACTGAGGATCTGGACTAGGGTGACCAGATGTCCCGATTTTATAGGGACAGTCCCGATTTTTGGGTCATTTTCTTATATAGGCTCCTATAACCCTCTACCCCGTCCCGATTTTTCACACTTGTTGTCTGGTCACCCTAATCTGGATCCATAACTGTGTAGTTCTGTCTCATGCTACCAGCTATGAAGGAATCCAGCGACTTGCCAGCATTAGTGTCTGACCCCATATGCTCCTATGAGAGCTGTACTGTCAAAGCTCATTTTGCTTAAGCATGATCTGGCTTTGGTTCCACCCTCTTTTTGGCCTTGTCTCCTGCATTGTTAGGTGAGAGATGCTAGGAATGTGGCAGTGGAACTGGTACCATGAGTTGTCTTGGGCACATGTGCTGCTGGATTTGTGAGACTGCGGTAGTTCTCCCATTTAGATATGGGAGTTGCCTATTTCCCCCATGAATTCCTTGCAGAACGAGCACTTGGAATGAGCAGCAGATCGTGCTCTTTCTTGATTTAGCTCTACAGATCTACCTTGTAGGGGTCAGGCAGAGGCTGCAGAGGTGACACATTCTGAGACCTCTGTTTAGAGGTTTGTCACTTTGATTTTTATCAGATCATTCTGTTTTGAGATTTTAGACTCCCACAAACTTGCTGAGGTAGGAATATTAACTCTTGGGCATAAGTGAATAATATATATCTCCCTGGACATTTTGTTAAAATACCTATAATTTTATAAAGCCCTTTGCCTGGTGGGGAATGTGTATTTGTAATCGTGGGGGTTAGTCCTTTCAAGATGACTAGATTTTGCTTGGGTTGTGTTTTTAGTTTTTGTAGCTGAGCCCTGATGTTTTGAAGGACGTGTTTATGATAAATCAACAAATGCAATATATAGGGTGTGAAATACACAGATGCTGCAATACCTCATAGATGATCCCAGGAAACTTTTCATCTTTAGTAATGTTTATGTTTGTGAAGTTCCATTCTCCATTGGTCAGGTGAATCTCTTTGCTTAGTTTAGTCACATGATCTGTTGTCTGCATGGACTGGAGTATAAGGTCTGTTGCTGTTTGAGGAAAGAAAGTGAAGATGCAGTGGTTTAAAGGTGTTTCCTTTCTCAGTGCAGGAGTTCAAATCCGCTGCCATAGTCCAGGTATGTATTCAGAAGGAGGGAAGAGAAGGTTAAGATCCCCATAGTGGGAAAATTACATCTCTTGCCCAAAACAGAACTAGTTGTGTACTTGGAGCTTGATTCTTACTCCAGGGTTAACTGGGAATAACTTCATTGAAATCTATGGAGTTATACCAGTAGGAGATCAGAATCCGGCCCAAAAGTCACAGCTTAATGGGAACAGATGTCTGCTGACAGTAGGAGTTTCATAAATCCATTGGTCTTGGATACTTGGTTGAATTCTGTCTCCCATCTTATGGCCTTGATCCAAATCCTAATGAAGTCAGTGGGAGTCTTTCCACTGACTCCAGTGAGCTTCAGATCAAGCAGTTGGCAGTGGCTGTCTCTTTCCTGTGCTTCCATAAATACTTGGGAGTAGCTACTATCTGGGCCTCTTCTTCACAGACTCACTACGGTGGCAATTGTGCAAATGTAGCATTTTCTTCAGAAAAATATCTAGGTCTCGATACCGAGATGGCTAGTCCCCTTCCCTGGAATGTTTCATTCCTGGATGTGGACTGTGCCTGTTTAATACTGGCATTCCGAGTGAAGAGTTTCCTCTTCAAATCGAGACTCGCTGACTTTCTGGAAGTGCTGCTTTAGCCAAACACAAATTATCGGGCTCAATTCAGGAGTAACTGGGTGTCATTTAATGGCCTGTGATACACAGAAGGTCAGACTAGATTATCTAATGATCCCTTCTGCCTTTAAACTCCAGAAATGTCATGAAACATTTGCTACCTTTAGTTTAACGAAGCCAATTACTATTCAAGTGAAACTGAATTATTAGAATAGTTGTAGCTAAATAGACACCTGTTCTATGCAAACAATAAAAGATCATGCTTGAAAGTAAGTCTTGCCTCTCCGTTTCTGCGTCTACGTGGGGGATAAAATAAGAAAGCATGCAGCAGTCCAGACCCTAGATCTCTAATCTGGAACTCACATTTCTAAGTCTGGGTCCCATCCTGCAGCCCTTTGTCAGTCATTTGAGTAGTCCTCTCAACTTCAGCCTTGGAGTTCTATTTTTAATCTAGACCCTCATGCACATTTTAAGGACTAGACCTTGCAAACTCAAGTAATCCCTATTGCAGTCAGTGCGACTAGTCATTTGACTAAGCTGACCACTCCTGGGAGTAAAGACTTTGCAGAGGCAGATCCTGGATTCTTTCATAGATATATATATAGGAGACTCCATAGTGGGAGATCATGCCATAGCCCACTTTCCCTCTTGCATTGTCATTTTTTTAACACAATGGACACTGTTGAGTAGTGAACATAAAAATTCAATGGCAGATCAGACCTGTGATCCAACTAGTTCATTGTCTTGGTGCGGACAGTGGCCAGCACCAGCAAACCCACTCCAGTTGTAGTAAACATGAATAAGAATGAACATACGTGAATACATAATTGAGGAGAGGCTTATCGTGCACATCTGGGTGTCAAATGGAAACTTGTGCATCTCCAAGTTGCATGCTACGGTGACATGTTGCCGTCGGACTGTGGTAATGAAACCGTCTTGAGTGATGGACAGAGAGGGCCTGCTGAGCAATTTCTCTTCATCCACTCTGAAGAAACCAATGATTCAACAACAATGAAAAGTAAAATGACAAAACGCTTGTTGCAGATCGAAGACAATATTTTTTTGCAAACTCACTGTTAGTCTGACTTTGAATGGTCAGTGAACCATACAAGAGGAAACAAAAGAGAGAGGGTGAGTGACAGCGAGTAACATGGGATGAGAGATTTAAAACAAACAGGGGAGGACAAAAAGGCTGTGGGAGGAGATAGGAGAGATGGGAAGAGAGAAAGCAAGCAGAGAAAGTCTGGGGCACAGAGAAGGGCTGATAACCCCCATCTACACCAAGACTTGCAGTGAACCCATTAACATGCTAGATGAGACAGGAAAGACATTCAAGGACACATGAACCACTTGCCCCATTGGACCAGGGACTGTTGGCCTAATTCTGATCTCACACTGCTTCCACCCTCTAACTATTGACTTCTGCTGAATTACTCCTGGTGTCCACCGTGTAAGTGAGAGCAGAATCAGGCCCTATGTCTTTATTTGTGTCTTGTGCAGTGCTGAGCACACAGCTGCTTCTTAACAAATAGTCAACATTTAATCATTTAGGGACAATACCAAATATCATAATACAGCGGGCATTTTCTGGACCTCCACAATAAACAGTGACAGGAGCCACTAAGATATGCTGTTGGAGTCTGTCTCCTTTTGATTGGCTACCCTGTCTGTCGGATTTCCCATAGCCTGCCCATGCTCTACTAGTGCCCCCTCACTCAGGGACTAAAAAACCCCATTTTATTTAATGAATGTTTTCTTATTGTTATGAGATCAGTTAATTGATTCTTAGCTATTCCACCTCCCCCCCCCAATCCGTCCTGCAAAACCTTTGCTTATGTGAGTAATCCTCACTCAGATGAGTTAGTCCCATTGATTTCAGTGGCATCAATCATGTTCCTTGTAATTATCCCTCTTACGGAAGCAAGTTGAAGTCAGTCAAGGAGTGTCTTACTGTTCAAGAATTGTGATATATGGGGACCAAAATGTATCCACTGGCTGAACGAGTTCGAAAATGTTACAGAAATCCTGAGGATTCCAAGTCATGAAGACATTTTTCCACCGCTAGAAGAAAGAAAAATCACAGAATGGAAACAATTTCTGGACTCACAGCACACAGGAAATAGCTTTGATTCTACAGAAAAAGGCTCCTACCATGATCACTAAGAAATAGACGGTGACAGTTTGAAGCTTTTCAGACTAGAGAAACAAAATGGGAAAGTGATTATCATGATTTCATTTACTAAGGTAGGTACAGAACTTAGAGGCTGTTCAGCGTTTTTCTTACAATGATGGCGTGATGGGTGTCAGAGATATGAGAAAATCAGGGCAGACCAATAACGTACTTTTCTTGGTCTTACTAACTGAGGTGTAGATTGGAAGGGTAAAGTTCAATGTTTGAGAAAATAGTTGCCTGATAGAATCCACCAGGCTATGTAAATCTGTGCTGGGAGAGGATCCAGAGCAGGAGAAATATTGCAACATGGCTCAGGGAAATCGAGTCTACAGAATCTGAACCCTGATGTATAAGGAAGGCAAAACCAAGTCTCTCCTCCTCCCCTCCCGCAACTCCACTGTGCTGTAACACCGGCTAATAACGTGGGTTTCCTTTACTCAGGCTAAGCAGAGGTGTTTCCCTTGTAAGAGGTTTTTTTTTTTGGAGGAAACAGAAAAAGAGAGAAGTTCAGATGAAATGCAAATCAAGGGCCAAATTTCTGAGTATTCTTGGACAACTTTGCAGTGCTTTGGCAACACAATGCAGCTTAACAGGCCAATTAAAAAGAGGATAGGAGGCTGGTAGAGAAATGATTCTTGCCCTGGACTTTGATCTTTTAGAGCTCCTTTTAATGTGACACCTGTTCAACATGTGATGAGCACTAAAGCAATTTTAAACAACCCTCTCATTTGTGCAGATGTGACAAACTATTTTACACCTGGCACCTCCAACCATACATTGCTCTGGATTCTACTTTCCAACCAGAGCCATAAAGTCTGGAGAAGAAGACCTAAGGTGCGGGCTCTGCCCTTTCACGTCAGTGGCAGTAATAGTGGAGTTACTCCTGATTTGCACTGGTATGAGTGAGAGAAGAGTCACTCACTCACTTTAGAATCATCAGCTGCCTCAACTTTTCAATCTCCACAATATTTCCTACTATAATAAAGACGTTTGTTTCCTTACCACTGAGAGGATGGACACCAGAAGAAATTGTATCCGCACTTTCAACGGCTCTTTCCAATTTTTCCTGGGTATTGTATGTAGTGAGGGTGGCTTTTCAGAGGAAATATTCAGATACTGAATAATGTCATCGTACGTACAGAGCTGTTCTGGGGCAGCACCTGTGGAAATAAAGTGAAAGTCTGGTTACTTCCAAATTCATTTATCAGAGCAATCCCGGGCAGGATCTCCGCATACACCACACACCCAGCCTATGGAATATGAATACATCAGAGGATAAAAAGCATTGGGCTGTAGCTGCTAGAAAACCACTGTCAGATCTTTGTCCCCTTTCACACTGGCAGGACTAGGGTGCCCGTCTTAATCTTCCTCATCCATGTATGAGAATATAAATTCCTCATGGTTAATCCGGTTGGTTTTCCCCTGATCCTACTACAATTTAACTTACCTGTTGCCATAGACAAAGTGAGAATAGCTAAGAATTCCCACATCATTCTCCTTTTCCTAGTGAAGCAAATGGTACAGCTGATGCTACAGATAGTTGCCAGTGGCTATCAGCTGAGGTGTAGCTGGTGCTTTGATATTAATCAGTGTAGGGAGGAAGCTTATATAATTCAAGGCTTGGGGTTTTTTTTTAATGAAGAATTCAGTGATAATGGTGCAATGCACTCAGGTGGCTCTTGGGATCAGCTTGGGAAATTACTGTTAATTGATCTGATGTTACGGGACCAATACTGTGGTAAAAATAATTTGCTTTAACCCCATAGTCCCCCATGGAAGGTATTGCTTGTCGTTCGGATTTATTTATACAAAACAAATTGAGGCTTTTTTGTTTTTAAATTTGTCCAAAGTGGATCTTGCTGCTTATCAGACAGCCTTGCTTCTGCACTCTGCCACAGGGGAAGTGACCCCTGGGCTTCCATATCTCATGTAAGTGCCCTAAGAACTAAGGGCTGTCTTGTGAATGGAGCCCTTTGAAAACGCTTGGGAACAAAATGTTCTGGGTTAAACATGTTTTGTTTGATCTGAAATAATCTTTTCTGATTCACTGAAATTTATCATGACTTTCAAATTGTTTTGAAACCCCCCCCCCATTTTATCTTTTCTGCACTGCCAGCCAGCCAAACAGTCAATCACTTGCTGTAAAAACATCACCTACCTCTAAAGTTGTATGAAGTTAACAAACTGGTAAGAAAGTTACATGGTCTCTCAATGCTGGCAGTTTATTCACCTTAGTTCCCTCTGCTTAAAGTGCCAATTGTGTCCTGACGTCCATTCTTCACCATTGGTCCGCTCCCTGCACTGTTTAGGTTCCATACCCTTGGCGCCTTCACAACTGCCCAGCCCTGCTTTACAGGTTGCAGCTCTAAAGCTCGATCTTCCTGACTTCAGATTCCCTACATCCCCAACTTCTGTGCTTTGCAGGCTATACAAAGCTTAGGAACCCCAGATGCTCATGGCTCCAGATCCCTCTTATAAAACACACCCTGTCGAAAACTAAAAAGCTGTGGGAAGAAGCACTCTTAGGTGTTGTGGAGAGAGAGGCTAGACTGGTAGTTAGTGTGACTTTGCAAAGCTCTCCCTTGCCTGCCATGGTCCCCGTGACTGCCTCTGAATTCTCTGGTTGTTTGTTTGATGTGGAAGATCCTTCCATGCTGAACACGGCTTCTCCTTCACTAGTTTATTATTTAGCAAACACAGATGGTTCATTTGCTTGTATGTCTGAGGTTATATTGGGTATGTGTGTATATATGTAAATATACAGTGTGTGGGGTGTATGTACCACAGTGGAGCCAGGATCTCAGGTAGCCTCTGAAGCATTGTCCCCTCCACCCCCACAATCCTCGGCATTTGTAACCCCTGGAGCCAGATCCTGTTCCTGTTAGAGCCTGGCAGAGCTCCCCAAGGGTGGAGACTCCACCCCCAGAATGTCCAGCTCACTGTCCCAGCTGGATCTTGGAGCTGAACGCCCTCGCTCAACCCAGCTGCAGCAGAGGAGGGGTACAGGTCACCAGGGGAGGGGGATTCCCCAGCTCAGCCCCTTGCCACACTGTGTGGCCAGCCCTTCGTGGGCCAGTGTTGGGATGAGTCTTGGTGTCCAGCCAGGGGCGTCTTCCCCTGTAGAGGCTGATCTAAAGCAGGGGGAGCTGGAACCAGCCTTTTCTGCTCTCCCCCATGGCCTGGGTGCCTTGAAAATATGAAATTAGCCAAACAGCCTCTGCATGGCTGAGGTTAAACTGAGCTCTGCTGGAAAGGAGGGCGAGTCCCAGGAATACCATAAACCAGAACATCATGGGCCAAATTCCACCCCTAGTGCATTCCCCATCCCCCACCCGGGAGTCAGTGTGGTAACAACCAAAGAGTAAATTCATTGGGCTAGGATGGTGCAACCTCACCCAGCAGAGATGCTGACAAAAACCCAGCCGGCAGAATCAAACCTCCCAGGGTGCATGTGTTGAATAGCGACCCCTCCCACCCCCAACAGCTGTGGGTGAACAAACCCCGAGCCATTTGGCTAAAAGGGCAAATTGGCTTTCAGAGCCACTGGTTGCCTGGTGCATAGGTGTGAGAACAAGGGGTGCTTTGCTGCACCCCCTGACTTTAAGTGGTTTCCATGTTTATCTTTCTTTTTTTTAAACCCTTTGTCAGCCTTGCAAAACTGTAATGAAAACAAACCATCCCATTCACAAACTCTCCTTGCCCGCTCCTACCAGTGTTCATGATGAAAAAACGGAGAGTATTATACTTGCCCATCCACACACACACACACTCCTGCAGTCCAAAAAAGGCAAATGTAGGCATGTAGAATTTTGTGTGGCTGCTTTATTGCCATTTCCGCATTAATAAGGAGACTGAAAATATTCTCAACTAAAATTAGCATAGTTGCTACCCTGGGGCCTGATGATGGGTGGGGCAATGGACACTGCAGACTTGCCCGGTGTGGACCTGGGAGCTCTCTGAAATTACTGGGGGTTGTTCTCTCAGCTATTCTGCTCCACCTGTACAGGTTGACGTCCTTGCCAGAAAAGCCCCCGGCTATTGATTGGGTTTATTACAAGACTGCAGTTGCTAAGGCTGGCATGGTGGATGAGTTTGAAAAGAAGGTGAGATTCTCGTCCTCAATTAGATGTTGCTGCTGTTTTGAAATCCAAGTGGAGGCTGCTCATAGCTGATGCACAAGACACAGAACTGTGAACTTTTTCTCTAGCAGACGGCTAGGAGAGATTATTAGGAGGTATTGGCCCAGATCCTGTGCTGTGGTGTGCAGCTGCTTTACATCACACTGCTAGCACAAAACAGCCCCAAAGCTGGCATAGCTAACCATAGGAAGGGTCATGTTAATGGAGGGGGATCCTCCAGTGGCATAAAGCTAATGCTTTTTCTCTTACAGCCTGCATAGGTTTTCCCAGCCGTAGGTGTAGAAGTGGCCCGAGGAAAGAGTATATGGTCAGAGCTTTCCTATTCTCTGCTGATTCCCAAGTGCCAAAGAGAACTAGTCTGGCTACTGGAGAAATATTAGTTCTGGGAGCATGCAGGGCTTTTAACAGAATTGACAGGCAACATGTTTAGAATTTATTTTTTGAATTTACAGTACAATGCACTAAAGGTTCCTGAGCCTGTGGACACACAAACAGACAAGATAAATGCCCAGGAACAGGAAGCTGTAAGTATTTAAAAACTCTTCCCTGCCACATGGTTTCTCTTTGATCTTTGAAGAGAGATAGAATAATTCTGACTTGGAGTCTGCTGGTGGGTAACTGTGCTGAGGTGCAGGAGATGCAAATCTGGGTTTGTGCGTATAGGCAGCTTTTGAGCAAGAATAGTTCTCTCTACCTATCCATGACCACACTTGGGGATTTAGAGTCTGGGACTAGATTGCAGTTCTGCTTGCTCTTCTGGTGTAATACACTTGAGATGAGTGTAAGACAAAGGCAGCCAAACTCTGATCAACCGAGGAGCATATTGGCATCTCGTCAGCAGCCCAAAGGATGCATCTAAGTTGCATGAAATAGCCTTGACTCCTTTTTAATGTGGAGTTGGAGTTCTTGGAGCCTGCAGGGGTCAAGATGGAGCATTACATAGTGGGACTTCTATTCTGTGGGCTCCTCCTCTGTGCGAAAGAGGAAGGTGGGTGTAACAAACTCCAGAGGTTCTACTCAGGTCACTGATGTTGTTTTTAGCCAGAGAATTTGTCAGCCTCAAGAGCTTGTACCTGTTTTATTTAAAGCAGATGCTATTTTAAGGTCAGTGTTTCTTTAAGGAAGAGGTAAGAGGAGAATGGTGACTCGATTTCCCTAGCTAAAGGGAAATAGGATGAGAGTCACAGCTTCACTGCAGGAAACAATCTAGGATTAATGTGGCACCAAATCCTTTGTTCTGTTGCAGGCTAAGAGTGCTGTTGAATATGTGCAGGCCTCTAAATCCCTTATTGTGCAGTCTGAGAAACAGGTATGTTCGATGGGTTCTACCCTGTGAATTTCATGTTTAAAACAACTTGGCATGCAACCTTGTTTTAATTTCTAATTGTACATCTACTTTAAGTTGAATTCTTGCTTACAACTGACTTTAACATTTTCTTATCTCTCCACCCACTTCTAGCTTGAGAAGTTCAGAACCATGATTCCATTTGATCAGATGACATTTGAGGACTCAAATAAGGTCTTCCCTGAAATGAAACTGGACAAAGAGCAGTATCCATTTTGGCCACACAAACCTATTGAAGACCCGTAAATCTGTCTGAAAGCAGTTTCTGGTGACTGTCCAATTCTCTAGAATATTTTAAATAAAGTAATTGTACAGGGCTTCAGCAATGTGTCTCGTCTTGGTTTCAAAACTAAAAGATTAAATCCACTAGAAGTTTTGGGGGTTTTTAAGTGGGTGACAAATGCTGTGAAATAAGGAGGCAATTGGTATTTGAGTCTCTGCACTCTACAGGGTGGGGATAGTCCCTGAAGGAGGACAGGATTGAGTCTTCCAAGCAGGATGTCAAGGTTTAGTGTTTGTAGAATACTCTCCCTGTTCTTGCCGTTCAGGTTAAACCCAAGGTGATTCGGGTGACTGAGATAACAGTCCAGCCACACAAATGACCAGCCCAGTTTAGCTTTCAGCCCTTTTCTGTTGTAGAAGTGTAAGCATCTCACTGTAGCCTGTCCATGAGATACTCATTGGACCTGGTTAGTGGTAGCCTGGACTCCAATTACAGTCAGAGGAGCCTGTCTCATCCCATCAAGACCAGCACTAATCTAGTCCATTGTGCTATTTCATGTTTGCTTTGTCCCCCCCAGATCTCCACGTGTAGTTCAGCACTTCTGAGAGGTACAACTCAGATGACTTATACCTACTCCAGTAATTCCCTGTCAGCTGAAACACTAGCTCCATGGATGTATTTTATTCAGGTAACTTTGCTGATGGGATGCCCTAGTGTACACATTGCCCTGCAGAGCTTGCACTGTTATTCAGACATGCAGTACACGGCTTAATTCAAGCATAAGAAGCAGGAAACCCTTGTTAGGGAGGAGGCTGAGGCAAGCAAGTATTAGAAAAGGCAATTCGCCCACATCTAACTGCTCCATTGTACAATAATGACGATGCTAAACAGTAGTGATAAAAGCAAATGGCTGCAGAAAAGCACCTGATCCAGAACTAGCAGATCTGACTCGCACTCCTGTAGCTCTGCCTGGGTCCCAATTTGCTGCCCCTCTGTATTGATTCTTCCCGTAAGCATGGGTAGTTCTGTATTTCCCTTTCCAAGTGGGCTTGAATCCCTCCTCTCCTCTTGTCCCCTGGCCGTCTCAGTCAGCGAATCTCCTGCAATGGGCAGAACAGCAGCCAAATGTAAATATACATCAGGGGAAATTGTGGACAAGAGCAGAGGCCTGCATGATGCTAAACTTGACTTTATTTGTTTGATCGATTTTATCAGAACTTCAAACATTTTTCTATCAGAAAATCTCAGGCACTGTTCTGGCTCAATGAGTTTATGGGGTTGGCCAGAGTTGGTGGACTCTGCGTGGGGCTGGGTTTACAGCTGAGCCTATATAAATAACAAAGGTGCAGCCCTTTTGTATACATATGTGGCATGTATATATTTGATTCTTACAATATATGCACCATAATGATGTTGAGAGCTAAGTGTCTTAACTATGTGTGAATTTATGATCAAATGTGGCCTGAAACACAATGGACATGGGTTCTAAACCTGCTAACGTGATTGATTTCCAGAGATAAGGGGCTCCCTACTGATAGAATCCTGCTACTGGATACAGAGTTTTCACATGTAGGTAACCAAACACCAACCCTGCTTGCTTAGGAGGTTTCCAGATCCAACAAGTTCATTGTCTTGTTGCGGACAGTGGCCAGCTGTTCAGTGTTTTTCTTACAATGATGGCATGATGGGTGTCAGAGATATGAGAAAATCAGGGCAGACCAATAACGTACTTTTCTTGGTCTTACAAACTGAGGTGTAGATTGGAAGGGTAAAGTTCAATGTTTGGAAAAAATAGTTGCCTGATAGAATCTACCTAGCTATGTAAATCTGTGCTGGGACAAGATCCAGAGCAGGAGAAAAATTGCAACATGGCTCAGGGAAATCGAGTCTACAGAATCTGAACCCTGATGTATAAGGAGGGCAAAACCAAACAAGAATTACCAAGTCTCTCCACCATATAGCCAACCTATGGAATACGAATACATCAAAGGATAAAAGGCATTGGGCTGTAGCTTCTAGGAAACCCCTGTCAGATCTTTGTCCCCTTTCACACTGGCAGGACTAGGGTGCCCGTCTTAATCTTCCTCATCCATGTATGAGAATATAAATTCCTCATGGATAATCCGGTTGGTTTTCCCCTGATCCTACTACAATTTAACTTACCTGTTGCCAAAGACAAAGTGAGAATAGCTAAGAATGCTTCCCACATCTTTTCCCTTTTCCTAAGGAGGCAAATGGTACAGCTGATGCTACAGCTAGTTGCCAGTGGCTATCAGCTGAGGTGTAGCTGGTGCTTTGATATTAATCAGTGTAGGGAGGAAGCTTATATAATGGATGGCTTTTTTTAAAAAAATGAAGAATTCAGTGATAATGGTGCAATGCACTCAGGTGGCTCTTGGGATCAGCTTGTCAAATTACCGTTAATAGATTTGATGTATGGTAGAAATAATTTGCTTTAACCCCATAGCCCCCTCCCCTGCAAAAAAAATATGCAGATAAAAAGGAAGGATTCAGCCGCACAAAGTGTAATGCTAAAAGCTTTAGCCCTTTAAAGCCCAAATCTTGTGCATGTTTATGCGTTGGGTTTAAATCTGATGCAACTCCACTGACCTGCCTGTGTTTTCGCTGGAAATTGAGTCACTCTGGCTTTTCACTGGTCTGACAGAGCAGCATTTGGGGCTACACAGCCCAATTAAGATGATCTTTTATCTCTCTGCATTCCTGTCCTCACATGTAGGCTGTTCAGGAGAGGGGGCGTGAGTGACCCTGCGGTAGAAATTCTCCATTTTCTAAACCATCAGTTCTTTCACACATTCACCCCACCCTTCACTTTTTTACCTTTTGTGGGCTGAGCAGACAATTTCAGCACCTAGACATCATTCCCTAGAACTTCCTAGCCCTAATTCCCAGTGAGGGCTCATCACTTCCCTTTATGTCACTTTTCTTCAATAAAAAAACCCTTCTAACTTCTACATGTTTGCTGTGGTTGACCCCCCGGGGTGACTTTGGCAGAAGGTGGTGAGGCAACAGCAGGATACAGTTTCAGCTGCAAAATCATTTAAGTCCATGGAGTTACATTAGGGGTGATTTGGCCTATGCATTATGTAGCCAATTGGTTCATTGTATCATTTAACTGTGTTATCTATTGTCATCTGTTAGGCAAACTCATCTGTTAGTCCATATGTAATGAATGTGTGAGAAATAGATTTGGGTTGTAGGTATAGGTAGAGATACAAGTAGGATAGCATCATAGGAGTGTGAGATTGAGAAGTAGTTAAGAGTGATGAGTGCAGGCCCGCCGACGGGAGGTGGGAAGGGGGCAATTTCCCAGGGGCCCAGGTGGGCCACAGGGCACCTAAGCGTGCGAGACCAGGCCCCATGCTTGGGGGGGGGTCCCCGGCAGTGATGGATTAGTCACTTCCACCCTGGGTCCCACCCCTCCAAGGACGGCCCTGGCCCTGGGGCCCGGAATTTCTATTGGTGGGCCTGGATGAGTGTGTATTGGGTATATAAGTAAAGCAAGGCTGTAATATTCAAGGCCTACAGGCTAAGGCTTTTAAGAGTTTAGCTTAACCATGCTACGCCTCAGGCTTAAGGAGGCATGATATGAGTAGGTGACCTAAGACTAACCCTGTGCCAGTCAAGTTACAAGATTATGTAAAGAATATGCCAATAGGTGATGGTCAGGAAAATATGCTGCTCTTTACCAGTCTAGACCACAAGGGGACACCTGACTATAAAGTTCTGCTTTTACTGCAAGTTACCATGGGAACATGTTTACCTAGATACTAATGTGATGCTAATGAGACTAAGGGAAACAAAGGGAACACCCTGTGAAAAGTGCGGCACCTCAAAATGTATGGGGTGTGAAAGTACTGAAGATGTAATGGGGTGAAGCTAGCTCTTGTCCAGGGCTAGGATTTTTGCCGCCCCAAGCAAAATCAATTTTGGCCACCACCCCCCCCCCGTTTTTTTCTTACCTCACCCCCCGGCCCCGCCTCAACTCTGCCCCTTCCCCAAATTCCCAGCCCTGCCTCCTCCCCCCAGGCTCTCAAGCCTGGGAGGGAGGGTGAGCAGCGGTGCGCGAATCAGCTGTTTCACACGCCGTGGTGCACCAGCTGCGGCAGCAGCGGAGGTGAGCTAGGGCAGCCGGGGCACATTTTTAGGGGCGGCATTCTGGCGCTGACCATGCCGCCCCTAAAAATGTGCCGCCCCAAGCACCAGCATGTTTTGCTGGTGCCTAGAGCCGGCCCTGCTCTTGTCAAACCAGGAATGGGGGGAAAGAGAGCTGGTTGGTTGGATGGGCTGTAAGTCACCCAGAGACAGGCGAGGGTCCTGCAAAGGATCCTGGTTAGGGAAGCCCATTATAAATATCTTTGGCTTCCAAGCAACAGAGAGTTACAAGAGGGAAGAGCTGGTAATGGAATCTATGCTCGTTGGAGGCATGTCTATGACATTCTTTGGACATTCTTTCCAAAGTGTGTCTTGCTGCTTATTGGACAGCTTTGTCGTTGCACTCTGCCACCAGGGAATTGACCCCTGGTTTTCCATATCTCAGATAAGTGCCTTAGGAACTAAGGATGGCTGTCTTTTGGCTTTCTTCTGAATGTAGCCCTTTGAAAATGCTTGGGAACAAAATGTTCTGAGTTGAACATGTTTTGTTTGCTCTGAAATAAACATTTTAGAGTCACTGAAATTTTTCATGACTTTCAGATTTGGAAGAAAACCGTTTTATCTTTTGAGCACTGCCAGCCAACTGAAAAGTCAATCACTTGCTGTAAAAACATCACCTAGCTCTAAAGTTGTATGAAGTTAACAAACTACCTTCCTGGTAAGAAAGTTACATGGTTTCTCAGTGCTGGCAGTTTATCCACCTCAGTTCCCTCTGATTAAAGTGCCAGCTGTGTCCTGACATCCATTCTTCACTGCTGGTCCACTCCCTGCACTGTTTAGGTTCCAGACGCTTGGCGCCTTCACAACTGCCCAGCGCTGCTTTACATGGTGCAGCTCTAAAGCACCACCTTCCTGACCTCAGATTCCCTGCATCCCCAACTTCTGTGCTTTGCAGGCTATGCAAAGCTTAGGAACCCCAAGGTCAT